GGCCAATTAAATGCGACTTCAACAAATCCAGTTTTCCTCATCAAACAAAGTGACTTTATAACCAAGAATTAAACAAATTAAACATGGTCATGGACACCATTTTGTAAAGCTTCATCCGTCGTCCATTTCGGTTAAGGAGATAAGGCAATCTTGCTGTTAAAATAATGACACCCTTGTTACATGTCATAAGGAGATCAGTTACTATAAATAAATGTTCCAGAAGATTATTCTGGCTCTTGGATTCCTATTTAAACACTAAAATAACAGTTAAATGCACGCACATTTATGTATAACTATGTAACTAATATGAGTGAAGAGGTGGACTACCGAATACTCCAACTGTACTAAAGGAGATAACTCCGCCCCTCTTTACTTGTACAGTTTACTACATGTATTTACAGCTCGTCTTCGTACTCTCAGAAGATAGCGACGTTCACGATCTGATGAGTTGGATGTAGATTCTGCTGCGATCTCACTGTCTTCGTAGTCACCAACGCACATGCTTTGTTCCAGTCTTGGTCGCTTCTGAAGATGACGTCTATTTAGTCGATAGCAACTCCCTCCTTCACCTTCGATGGTGTATGCGCGAGATGATGAGGCTTTCTCGGTGACGACCACTGGTGTCCACACCTTACCATTTTGGTAGAAGACTCACTCACCAGGTTGCAACGGTGACAGATCTTTTGAATCCCTGTCACAGAACTGCAGGAGCAGGGGGTGTTTCACAAAGATTCCAAGTAGAACTTAACTTTAAGTTGGATTTAAGTATTATGGAGAGCCATTTGTAGCCTTAAAACAAAATATATTCAAAAGCAAAAATTCAAGTATTTTAGACTTTTTATAAATTCCACATCAAGAATATGAAATCTCCTTGATAATAGAAAATATGAATGATTTGAATCAACATTTCATGCCTTTTAAAATATTTTCAATGATGCTAACAGCTTTCTATAATTTTAAGTCCAACTTAAAGATAAGTTCAACTTAGGATCTTTGTGAAACACCCCCTGGAGTTCTTGACGCACAGGTTGTGGCCCAAGTAGCCTGCCCGAAGTGGGTAACGTGTGATTGGTCCTCCTGCCATTCAGCGTCTGTACATGCGATGGTAGCCGTCTCCTTGTGTGTATACAGTGCGTCCCAGAAAAAACGAAACCGAGAATTATCGATGTTTTATCATAACTTAATTACAATTATAATTGATAAATGACACATATTTGGAAAGCTTAGATTCTCCTCATTCATTTGTTGCAACTCATATAGTGCATATTTCAGGCATGAGTGATTAAAATGAATTTGAAGAGAGGAAACTAAAAAGTCATTTGGCGGACGGTATCTGAATTTCAAGGAGAAAATATGTGTCATTTATCAATTATAATTGTGATTAAGTTATGATAAAACATCGATAATTCTCGGTTTTGTTTTTTTCCGGGACGCACTGTATAGGTTTGAAGAGCTAAATGTACATCTTCAACTTCTACTGCCGATTTCTTCAAGAGGTTTTTAGCTAACTGCACAGCTTGTTTCGGCTTTTCCATTTGCCGGTGCGTATCTCAGAGAAGATGTTATGTGCCTCAGTTCATAATTGACTCAGAACTGCTGCTTGTATACTACTATCACAGCTGTACTTGATGTACTTGTCAGCTTGTTGATTTTAAAGTAGCTGGAATAGAAGTCAACCAGGATGAGAATTCTAGACCTGGCAATCCCTTACAGATCAGTTCTGACTATTTGCCACGGTCTCTCAGGTAGTGCATGACCATGCATGTATTCTCTCTGGTTTCTGGCTCTTTATGTGCAGCAAATCTCACATATTTCAACTTTCTCTATTATTTCAGCATTCATCTTTTGCCAGAGATATTGGTCTTTTCTACTCCTTGGTGACTCTCATGGAGTTTTTTTTTTCCTAGCATGAGCTCTCTCACCCTCCTAGTTATGATCACTTTCTGCATTTCGAAGAGTATGTCAAAGCTGGTAGTGATCTCATCCTTGAACTGCCAGCATTGCCGGACATCTGCTTCTATAGCTTGACGTCTGTTTGGCCAGCCTTCTTTGACTCTCTCCATCAGCTTTAAAACACAGCAAATGGTCTGCTAAGGTTGATCTGCAACTCATATAATGTAGCTGAAAACATTGGAAGATAATCTACCATGCATACTGCTATGTCTTGATCCTCCTCATCTTCTTCACTCTCTGGGATGAAGGTTCTGATAAGAGCATCAGCGATCATCTCAGCGCCTTTCCTGTATCCCAAAACACAGTCATGTTTCTGCAGTTTCCGCAGCATTCTGTGTAGACGTGGTGGAGTATCTGCAAGAGGCCTTTTCATGATCCACTCCAGTGGTTTGTGATCTGACTCTAATACAAATATTTCCATGAACACGTACTGGTGAAATTTCTCTACTCTATACACCACCGCTGACAGTTCTTTTGCTATTTGTTCATAGCGTTTCTCACATTCAGTGAAGGCCTTGGATGCACATGCCACCGGCTTCTCATTCTAATGGAGATCTGCCCCTACGCCGTTCTGCGATGCATCTGCACACCTACTACGACAGACACAAGCAGGTCATAGTATTGCAGTATGAGAGCTTTTGTCAACGGTTTTTGCAATTTCTCGAAAGCTCCAGTCTGTTCAAAGGTGCATTCCCCTCGGACAAGTTAGAAATAACTTGCCCGGATAGTTAATCATTCCTAGAAACCTTAGTAGTTCTTTCTTGTTTGTCGGCTGCTGCATGTTTTGACTGCTTCTACTTTCATGCTCTGGGTACACCACCAGCCTTGAACTTGACTTCCGCAAAAGCGATCTCAACTTTTGGTGTACCACAGTGGTGCACTGCTGGTTTGATATTACACTGGGCACCATTGTCCAGTTTAAATTCCTTTCTTGGAGCCAAACTTTAGATCAACAAACCAGTATTCTGAGCTCTCTGATGACTTGATGACATCCACAAAGAAATCCTGCATTTCATCTTCAGCATCGATAGCATGCACTCACTTCTTACAAATAGCTTCTGCCCTTCTTTGCTGGTTTAGATAGTGATGTCTTGCAAAGAATGGCAAAGTAAATCGCCTTCTGGTCTCTGTTGCATTTCTTGCCATACGTTGGACACTTATTCTCGTTAGCCGCATGAGATTTCACACGGTACTTGCAATGAAGGGTAGTCTTAACACTCATTTTGGGATTCAATTTCCGAACTCTGTGTAGATCTTGGGACTGAGCTCTGTTGAACATTGCTGTTTCTCCTTCGAAAATGCCGCTGCTCTACGAAACTAAAGATATTTGTCCAGCGTCACATCACACAGTGATCTCGCTCTTAACCCGTTGACTACTGAATGTATTCATTGCCGTAGGTTTAATACAGGGGCCACCCGTTTCCAGTAGGCAAAGGGTTAACTCATCATCCCGGATGCCACAAATGATTCTCTCAAGAATCAGCATAGAATCGTGGAGATCACTGGAATTACAATTGGCTCCAAGCAACTTCAAATCTCTCACGTAATGCTTCAAGTGTTTCAGCACAAACTTGCTCGCACGTGAAAACAAAATTATCAACAGTTTCTTCCTAGAATGGATCACAGTGTTTCTCAGAAGCTTCACACACTGCCTTTAACAATAATAATAATAATAATTAATTTTTATTTAGCGCTTAATACAAATGTCTCTTATCGCTTTACAGATATACTATAGATAATTTCATGTACTTCTGGAGACTCTTCAGTAATAGGGGTTGACTCTATCGTTAGTGTCTTCAACAACTCTCTACCCTTTGCTCCTACCAGGTATAGGGTTTTTACCCTATTCGTTTCATCTGCTGTGACAGACAGGTCACTGTAAAGCTCAAACTCTTCCCTCTATAATTTTCAGAAGTGAGAAAAATTCCTGGCTTCCAAATCCAAGGGTAATGGCGGCTTTAACTGTTCCATACCACGTGTTATTTAAACCTCCTGAGGAAACACAATAGCTGTAGTATTTTCCAGCAGAACGATGTTGTGGTTTATTTGGTTGTTATTAAATTGGAACATGAAATTTCATCTGTATGATTAACATAAAGTTATTATAATCAAATGGTACATGTATAATGTAGTTCTTGTACAAAATCCGATATTTTTAGTTGGTTTGGTTTTATTTTCCGAAAAAAGTCAAATACATACAAGAATACATTTTACAAATATAATACAAATCAAGAATTAAAAACGGCTGAAATGCTCTAAACAGAGTCATTATTAAAATGGCTCTGTTCTTCTTTGAGGTCCAGAATTGTCACTTTTAAGAATCAAATACTTTGACTGCATGGTTTGATTTTAATACAACGTAACTTTACACAACTTGAAATTCAGGTTAATCATGTACATCTAAAGACAATGAATGCAAAACTCGAATTTTTATTTTCATTTCATTTTTTATTCGTTGACCTTTAAAAAAAAAACCTCTTATAACATTCGAGGAATCTTCCACAAGCTTCAGGATGCATGTACAACCATACACACAAATACACATACAATTGCAACCGCCCACATAAGCACATACACGCCCACACGCATGCGCGCACTCACACACCCACGCACACAGGAAGAGAATGATACAGACAGAGATACAGAGAGAGAGAGAAAGAAAGAGAGAGACACACACACAAACACACACACCCACGCACACAGGAAGAGAATGATACAGACAGAGATAAAGAGAGAGAGAGAGAGAAAGAGAGAGACACACACACCCTCACGCACAAACCGTATACCAAGATCCAATTACCTAGTTATATTCATTTGACCTTGTCCTATAAGAAAACCGTCAATGAGACCCGATAAAGTCACGAGCCACCAACAGGCGTTCAATATTGATATTGACCAATCACAGTGTAGCAAAGCACTCAGCCTAAGCGGCAATCTGACCAATTACAGAGCACCACACGCGTTAACGTTAACATACAATGGACCAATGAACCCTTTCGAAAGAAACACGAATATCCCAAACTTTGTTTAGTGAGGACGTTCTGAATAACTGTCTTCATTCTTGAGGAAGTTCACAAAGGCAACAGTTCTAGGATTCACCTTGATAGCTTTAGACGTCTATTTCCAAACCTCCAGGCTACCAGAGAGTAAAGCATTTCGTGACAGGTAAGAGTAATAGACTAGTTAACTAACATATTCATATTTATTGGTGTTTCTTTTCTAGGGACCTAGTTACGGGGTATTCCATTAACCTGTAATTAGTGAATGGACTACAATACTATAAAGGATGCAGTCTGCATACTTTATTTGGTGTTATGTCGAGCAAGACTTGGGTAAGCCTTCGGGTTGTCAAAAGCAACATTGGTTAACAAAAGTCTACATAAGCTTTGAATATATATGGTAGTAAACCAGTCTATTGTCTTTTCCCCTTATTCGCTAACCTTGTGATCCTTCTCCCGAAAGCAATAGACCATCCGTCATTCATTTTTTGCTTTCTTATCGTAGCTTGATTCTGATCCGATGTTCATTAAATAATTTATCTACATGTATTTCTACTTCAATATTTTTGTTGACGATTAAGGTGATCGCATTATTTTTTCCCTCTGTTATATACCTCATCGAACATTTTCATTTCATATCGCATTTGAAGAATAATTTGTTAATCCTTATGGTAGTATGATATAAATTTCTTTTCGTTGAACCCTCTGTGTTTTTTTATTACTAAGTAAACAAACGTTCTGAATAGTACAATCATTAAAGGCAGGCCATTCTACCGACACTACTTCAGATTAATGTATATTGTCACTTGCTCACAAGATGAATAGGTTATTAAGAGAGACAGAGACAGAGAATGTCGATTCATGTTTACTTATATATCTGATTATCGCATGACATCAATGTTATGATTATGTTAACATTAAAAAAAAGGTTATGTTTTTCATAATTTGAAAAGCTGATTTTAGTTAGCAGTGAATAGTTTGTATTTGTTTCAAAGGCTCGTAAAGCATTCTGATGTATTATACAGGTACATTCGTATCATGAGTAAAGCGATATTTCTAACAAAATTAGAATCCAATCACTTATCCGTTTTGTTTTTTAATTTTTCATACAGAATCCAGAAGCATAAAAACTTATCAAAATGGCACAGAAAGTTACACTGATTACAGGCTGCTCCTCAGGCATCGGACTCAACATTGCAGTCAAACTTGGGAAGGACGCAGCGAAAAAGTATATGGTTTACTCGACCATGAGGAACCTTGGGAAGCAAGAGCCACTCCAGGTTGCCGCAGGTGATGCCCTCGACGACACGCTTTTTATTCGTCCTCTCGACGTCGTCAAAGAGGACTCGGTGACAAATGCCGTCAACGAAATTGTCGACAAACATGGTCGAATCGACCTAGTCAGTAAGTCAGGAAAGTTTACTACTACTAAGTCTACTAGTGCTACTACTTATACTACTCGTACTAATAATAATATCAATAACGATAGTAATAATGATGATAGTAATGATATCATTATTTGAGCTTCGCAATACCTTCAGCTCCATTATCAGTACCCCATCTTTGCTCGGCAGCCATAACAACGCTCAACCATTTTAAGAATTCTTTCCAGGCTCTCATTAACCTCACGTAGGCGGAGTGTGATCAATGAAGATTAGTGTCTTGCCAACGGACGTTAGTGCTGCGACAGGCATTCGTACCTTGTACCTTGTGGTACACAGTAGAGTTGAGTTGAGTTAAGGTTTTATTATCCAAAAGTTAAAATACAGTAATATACCAATAATAACAATAATAAATGTATGTTTAACAAATATCTCGAATGAATATTAGGGACCTGAAAATAGCATAAAATGCTAATCATGTCTGGTACCCTTAAAGTACAGTATCTTAACATTTAACAATGTGTATACATATGAATTCTTGAATACAGGTACAACTTAAGCTACACACTATCCTTTGTATCTTACATAATACAAGTTTGTGTGTTTAGTACAAAGCCTCAACTTGTATAAATAGACGTTCCGTATAAGATAATACAGTAAAGTATCAGTCCGAAGACCATACCACCTTAACACCGAAAAACAAAAAAGTTGAACTTGTAGCACAGTCATATAGATAACACGAATAATCCAGCCTTCTCAATCAGTTTGCATATAATTATAAAGGGTTACCTTGTATAGTTGTTAAGACATTGGTCTGTAAAATCACAAGGCACGGGCTTTGAATTCAGCACGGCTTTTCAGTCTGGCAACGGAGAGTGTACTCTCCTCTGGTCTGGCAATACATTGATTTTGATTTGCCTCTCCCCACCCAGGTGAAAGTGGATAACTGATAGGCTTGAGCCCTAGCTGCTTCGGCAAAATGAGTAAAATATCAACATACTTACGATGGCTGCTCCTAAAACATGGAACAATATTCTTCTTTCCATCAGAGAATTAACATGTCATTTTCAAACGATCCATTAAAACATTCTTCTTCCTTCAGCGATATGATTCGATTTACATATTTTATAACTCTATGTATTTTATATTTCTCTTCACATTCTGTAAGTTTCTAAGCGCTGTGGTACGTTTTGTTTTTAGCACCCCTTAGCAATCGATGGTATATATCATTAAACCCATTGAACCCTGGAACCTGGTGGTTTATGTATTAAGTCTATGGGAATGAGAGAAATTCAGGAGTCTGTGGGTTAAGAATGGTCAGGCGCGGATCTACGGGGGGGTTTAGGGGGTTCAAACCCCCCCCCCCTTGGGCGGCCAAAAAAAAAAAAAAAAAAAAAAAAAGAAAGAAAGAAAAAAAGAAAGAAAAAAGAACGCACGCTGGAGAGAAACCCTTTCAAGTGCAAATATTGTGAGAAGATATTCAACTCATCTGGTAACTTAACCAAACACATGATAAAAAGGCTGGATATAACTGTGTATTAAGCTGTTACTTGATTTAAAAAGACGTTATCATGCACTGCTTTTTATGGTCTCCATTGTGTTAATAGATGCCAGGAAAACATCACTTACGGGGTTCAAATAAACACCCCAAAAAAAATCGGCTCGCCGCTACGCGGCTCGTGGACGATGCTCTGCATCGTCATTATTTTGGTCAAATCCCCCCCCCCCCCTTAGCAAAAAGCTAGATCCGCCCCTGATGGTAAACGTCGTGCCCAGATGTTCACTGTAGGAAGCAGTTTTAGATGCTAGCGAAGTACCGAACCTAAACACACTTCTTCATTAAAGACACTATGTCTCTTTTGCAGCCAACATCATATTTTGTAGAACTTTGCAGGAATTATGAATATGTCGTGTGTGTCCTATCTGTGAAATTTAAATGTTAGCAGTGTCCTAATATTCAGATTATGCAAGGAAACCCGTTTACTTGCTAGACTTCACTGGCAGACACTATTGAGTGACTGACTGGCTTTCTTGCTTCTTTGGTAATAGCATACATACAATGAGCTGAAAATCAGACTATTACTTACTTGCTCTAAAGCTCTTAAGTCGATTCAACAACTAATACTAATAGTCGTTATTTTCCCACTTAAAGACATTTTTAAGCCCCCTTTTTGAGGGAAGTTCTAAATTAGTATTATCTTTCAAAAGGAGTTGGAATTTAACCTTTTCATTTGTTGGCCTGCAAATGGGACATAGTACCTTTAACTTATCTCACACCCTGTGAGCGATTCTTCTGATAAGGATGTATGCAATATGATCTATTTTTAACAAAATGCAACTAAAAATAGAACCGATAAGATGTTTAAAGAGGTACTTGAAGATAGTTAGATAATAAGATAATACAAGTACTTTGTTAGTATTTAGCATCTTTATCAGTGCATCGAGAAGGCCAATGCAAGAACGATGACTTTGGTCACGAATTATTGAGATAAAAATAGAGCGAGAGAGAAAAAGATTACTAGAGATGGAGAGGGAGAAAGAGGAGGGGAGAAAGAGTACTAGAGAGAGAGAGAGAGAGAGAGAGATAGACAGAGAGAGAGAGAGAGATAGATGAATATAGAGAAAGAAAATAGCTGCACAACACACCAAAAATATCAAAGTGAGGAAACTCCAACGTTTGTTTTTCTTCATAGTGTTTCAGGTAGATTTTTTAAAACGGTGTTCGGGCTGTGTAAACGAACGTTATGTCACTGTGCAGAATGTACTGATAACAGCATCCTATTACGTGTTTATCAGGTGCGAAGGTCAATCTCAAAACAAAATAAATGACGTCACGTTTCAGTTAATGCACCTTGTAATGTATTCCCCCTCCACTTCCCTTCTCCTATTTTCCCCCGTTTGTATTGGTTTTTACAGCTTTTCTCTGCTTTTTTTTCCTCAACAATACAGTGTATACTTTTTAAAGGGATCCGATAACTTTGTCTTAGATCCTTTAGAAAAAATCCTTGATTAAGTTCATGCTGCAATGATAATTATAAACCTTTTGGTCAGTCAGAAGCTCCATAAACTTGTACAAGCCGATCGCCTGTCTGATTATCAAGATATTAATGATTGGAACTACAAATTTTGAAATCCGTTCGCCGAACGGTTTTCATAACACTACAGTCTATTGGGGAAAACGAGTATGGTAAAACCGGTCACTTAAAGATTTTTACTTTTTTGAGGCATTTCTTGATCATTTTGAAGCGCGATTTTTTTAGGGCTTCAATATTATACCATATCAAAGACACTGGTAACATGTAGGACCGTGTATCTCAGATTTAACATTGTTAAACGATGCCTTTAAAGCTTATCTGTACCGTTTACAGGAGGGATTATACTGCCCTGCAAGGTCACTGGACAGGTGGTTATCTCATCAACTCAGCTCTCAGTTAACATAAGAAAAAGAGGATCATGGGGGACCAATGGTCACCGATTAGGCATTGTTTATTATAGAGAGGGCGCAAGTAGCTTCAAGTAGTGCAGCGGGTCTTTAAGGGGTTGACGTTCATAAGGCAAATTGCCCTTTTTGTTAACCCAACATTCCCATAATTTTTGTTTTGCTCCTTTCCTTTGTATTTTTCTTTTTATCGATCTTTATCTATATATCATGTTTGTATGTTTTAATGTTTTTTATGGAGAATGAAATAAATGAAATGAAATGAAATGAAATGAATCAAGAACATTTGATAAAAGTAATCTCCGATTATTATTTTTGAAGCTTGTAATTGTATGGTATCGTTATGTGACGCCTGCTCCCCTTCCAATGCCTCCCCCCCCCCCCCCCCCTCTCTCTCTCTCTCTCTGTGTCTTAATAATAATAATAATAATTACATCTATAGAGCGATTGCTACGGGCGTTTCTAAGCGCACATTTGGTATTTTCTAACTTAGTATAATTATTCAACTTTCTCTTTCCCCCTCTCTTTCTCTTTCTCTTTTCTCCTTCTTTCTTCCTTAATCTATGTAGTTAACAACGCCGGTATCGCCACCTTCAGCCCTCTTGAGTACACACCACTGTCTGACGTTCGGGACGTGTTCGAGACAAACTTCTTCGGAGTTGTTCGGATGATGCAAGCAGTCTTGCCTCACATGAAGGAACAGCGATCAGGACATATCATCAACGTCAGCTCCATTGGAGGAGTCTTAGGTACACGATCTTAACTACTTTGGTTTGGTTGGTTGGGATTCTTGGTTGATAAGATGTGTGACCTTGGGTGACCTTGGGACCGACGCAGTTTCGAATCCGGGACCTCCCGGTTAGGAGACCACAGCTCTACCACTGAGCCATCGCGCTCCTTTAAACAAAAATCCCCAATACAAAAATTGAAGTACAATTAAATAGAATGAAATGGAACTGTATTAAATTAAATTAAATTAAATTAAATGAAACGAACTAAAATTAAATGAAATTTAATATGCTGGAAATAGAAGAAAAAAATGGAATGAAAATGAAATGAGATAAAATTAAAAGATATAAAACAGAATGAAGTGAAATGAAATTTAATTTAATTAAATGAAGGTGAATGGAATGAATTGAAACTAGATGAAGTTAAACTGAATTAAACGAAAAGAAAATGAAACAAGATGAAAAAAAAAATGAATAGAATGAGATAAAATAACATGAAATATTTTATTTTCTGTCTGTAGGTCATCCATTCTATGAAACGTACAGTGCCTCAAAGCACGCCATGGAAGGACTCACTGAATCATTAGCAATCAGAATGAAAGCATTCAATGTCAAGTAAGTCTTCAGTTTATATTCCATTCCCCTTCTACCCCCCCCCCCCCTCTCTCTCTCCCTCTCTCTCCCTCTCTCTCTCTCTCCCTCTCTTTTTCTCTCTCTCTCCCTCTTTCTCCCCCTCTCTCTCTCTCCTCCTCTCTTTCTCTCTCTCCACCTCTCTCTTTGAACGTGTCTAACTCTGTCTCTCTCTCTCTCTCTCTGTCTCTGTCTCTCTGATCTGCCTCTGTCTCTCTTTTTATTATAACAATACAAAAACAAACAAAATATATTTTAATTCCTGCGGCGGTTGAGGAGAATACACAAGTAAAACAGAAATAATGAAACAACCGTAGGAAATATAAAATAAACGAACTTTTTACTTTAAAGCGCCACTGCACTAGTTTGGCCAGGAGGGACTACACCTCCCTGCATGGTCACTGACATGTGGTTATCTCATCAAATCAGCTCTCAATTATTATAACATAAGAATTGCATATCCATAAACGAATTCGTTTTCACTGGCTGCCTGCCGTAGCAACACACAGATTTGACAAAAGACTTAACTCCATTTCGTTGACGATCAGCCATGGGTCAAGTCTCCGTCTTTTTTTGTGCATGGCTGATCGTCTGAACGAAACGGAGTTATAAGTCTTTTGTCAACTCTGTTTGTAAAAAGGAGATAGTTTTGAACCTCTCTAGTGTCGTCATTTTAAGCATTTTGAACCATCCATACTCGTTTGAAATTTAGTTATTTCTGACTCCATGGTCAAGCGAATAAACACAGTGTGTGCATAAGCTATTATTCTTTCTTCTCACACATTTGGGGGTATTTTTAGGGTTCTCAACCAATGCTATCATACTAAACCAAACAAACCAAACGAGAACAAACACAGCGTGTGCATAACCTCTTATTCTTCCTTCTCACATTTTGGGATATTTTTAGAGCACTCAACCATGTTATTTGATGATGATGATGATGATGAACAGCATTTGTATGGCGCCATATATCTGTTTCAAAAAAACATTCGTAGGCGCGAGCTCCTCCAATAAAATTAGCATTTAAATGTCTGAAGGAAGATGTGAGTTTTGAGTGAAGCTTGGAAGTGGTCCAGGTTGTCAATTTCGCGAATAGATGATGGGGGGGGGGGGGGGATTCCACAGGCGAGGAGCAATAGAGGAAAATGCCCGGTCTCCATATCACTTGAGATGAGTAATGGGCATCTTATTTAACTTAATAAAAACAAATGTCGAATGGCTGTCTCGAAAGGGTTAAACTGATACTGAATTGATTTTCCTTTTATAACTTAGATTAACTAGCGTGATACCAGGGCCGGTGGCTACAAGCATGAATGAAAATATCGTTGAGGGAAACCGACTGCCTCCAAGACAGAAGATAGATCCAATCACAAGAGAACAACTCAAGATACTGAGCACACATCAGAAGTAAGAAGCTTTTGTTTTATCTTCATGAACTTTCAAGGTATAGACCAATTTTGGAAACGCCCACCCCCCTCAAAAAATGAAATGGAAGTTTTTACTACCAATCATGTGAAGAAATATGTTTTGACTAATACGTGATGATACAAATTTTGCCGGAAAACCCCTACTAATTGATATATTTGATAAATTATTATATCTATCCGGACTGGATAGATATCGCGTAGTCCCATATACATCTTTTTGTGTACAGTGCTTGTAACTTCACCAAGACTGGGCCAAATTTCTTATCATTTTGATGATTCCTGAACCTTGCAGTACACATATACTTATATGCTAGATGATTAACCTTTTCCAATCGATCCCACAACGTTTCTTTCACAATGCAATCGCATGACCAGAACTGGTCTATACCTTTAAAATACAAACAGCATTGAAAGAAACTTTGACTTGAGCGTGGCTCCCCCGCCCCTACACACATCATTAAATATTGTTTAATTCTATGCCCATAACCTATCCCCTCTCCTACCATGCCTTTAAGTCCTGTAATCATGTTCCCAGACGTTTAAAGTCCAAGCAATTACATAAAAAAATCGGTACTATAAAGACACATGTATTTGCAAAACACACTCTGATTTTTATTTAAAGGAAATCATAAGAAAAAAACTGTCCTTATTTGAATGATCGAAATGCTGAATTGGTTAGTCCCGAATGTACGAACGGTAGTATTACGTGATCATGCTCAACGAAAAGCGAAAAACATGAATTTGAATGTGGAACATGTTAATTAAACAGAGTATTAGCGGATTTATATGCCCAGATGATGAATTTGAAGTATCAAACAGCAGGACTGGGCTAAATTAGTCTAAATTGAATGCACGAAAGCATCAATTGGATTGGCAAAGTTGCGAAATTGGCAGGGAAAACCTATATTTGGGACATAATCGACAGACCATCCTACACCCCTCACCCGTTCCTTTAGTAGTCGTTCAAACTACATGTACGTACATGTACTGTTGTCTAACCTGCTTAAGTAAACAACTGTATAGAAAGACCACCTGACTATTAATACCACGTTGCTTGTCTCCCATGAGTGCTCTTTATAGTACTTCAGAAACCTGTATATAAAGACCACCTGACTATGAAGACAGTTTTTCTTGTATCTCTTGATCGGTCTTTATACGTAGGTTTCACTGTACTACAGGAACCTGTACATAAAGACCACCTGACTATGAAGACAATTTTTCTTGTCTCTCTTGATCGGTCTTTATACGTAGGTTTCACTGTACTACAGGAACCTGTACATAAAGACCACCTGACTATGAAGACAATTTTTCTTGTCTCTCTTGATCGGTCTTTATACGTAGGTTTCACTGTACTACAGGAACCTGTACACAAAGACCACCTGACTATGAAGACAGTTTTTCTTGTCTCTCTTGATCGGTCTTTATACGTAGGTTTCACTGTACTACATGAACCTGTACATAAAGACCACCTGACTATGAAGACAGTTTTTCTTGTCTCTCTTGAGTGGTCGTTATTTACAGGTTCCCTGACTATCACGGACCACAAAGAGCAAGTTTGTGGACTTATACTCACCTTTTCGATATTCCCTAGGCCTTTACTATATCAATATTTGAGATGTCGAGATAACCGAATATCTGTAGTTCATGGTTCTATTTCCAGACATAGCGCTGACTCACCTTACAGTTTGAGATAACTATCTATCGATTGTTTCTATTTTTGGTTAGATATAATCGCTGTTATGTTTTTGACCCCTCATTAACCCGTCTCGTTATCAACATTAATATTTGCCAGATAGCATTTTAAACTAGGTCGTTGATTAGCTCTGTTTACCAATCCTTTACTGTCAGCCTGTACGTAAGCTGAAATGACATTGAAGACTACAATTAAGGTCATTGCTGACAAAACAGTTAAATGTTCTAAATGTTTACCTAATATCTCACTAATTATGCTCCCACACTGCATCATTTGTTCCAGGCTTATACAGACAAACCTGCTTAAAGAGAAGGTTGAGTTCTAGGAAGAGGTGAAAAATAATTTGTGAGCGTTATCATTGTTATTATGCAAGTGTGGAAGAAAATCAGATAACAAAATGTTCCCTGAAAAGAATGGCTCTTCAAAATGCCTTAATATTCTAAATAAGACATGTACCAGCATAAAAATCGGGACGGATTTTTATGCCACATGTTCGTGTAGTCCCATATACATATTTTGTGTGTAGAGTGCATGTAACTTTACCAAGACAAGGCAAAATTTCTTATCATTTTGATGATTCTAGAACCTTGCAGTACACACCAATACTTATATGATAGATGATTTACCTTTTCTGATCGATTCCACACCGTATCTTTCACAATGTCATCGCATGACCAGAACTCAACTTCATCTTTAAGTGATCACCTGTATACAAAGACCATATTTTCGTTTTCTTAAAAATCGTTACTACAGGTCTCACTATATTCGCTAGATGGACATGCATTTTTCATCAAAGATTTTTGACAAATATATAGGGAAAGACTTTACCATGGGCTAATGTTGCAATTGAGGTTAGGATTAGGGTAAGGATCTTAGGCAGAAGAAAGATAATCACAGATAAATGCACAGCCTTCATTATTATTATTATTTGTATCATCATTTATTACAGAGACCAGTTTGAGAGCAAGGTACAAACAGCGGAGGACATTGCCGAAATCGTCCAAAATATCATCGAAATGGATCTCTCTAACAGACCGGTTCGGTTTCAAACTAGCGAGTATGTACGAGAGAGGACCGCCATGAAATTTGCCGACTTCGGGTCAGTCACGTGGATGGACTTCATTCGGAAAATCATCGAGGAGCCGGTCGTTGCCGATTCCAAACCGAAACATGACGAGTCGCAGATCTAAGAACCTTCTTTTTAATTATAAAATCAGACGGTCTATAGTGATGCACGTTGCATACGAGTCGCCACGCCGGCGGGCGAAATGATTGATATGCATGAATCATCACTCTTTTTCTCGACCCAGGTTGGGAAAGAGAATGAGGTTTTTGATGGAACCCATTGTATATTGAAAACGCTTGACGAAGGAAGGACCTGAAATCTGGGGAGATAATTCACCAACTCCTTAGGAAGCGATTAGCTACAACGATTATGGACTTTACCTGTGAAAGCCACATCGGGTTTCCGGCTTGTTAACAGTAGCAGTTCCACGGGCGCTTTACAGTGCACAAGTCTCCCGCCCCCTCCCTAACAACAATAATTTTTAGTAGAAAACTTAGACGTAGAAATTGGATGCAACAAGTTTCAAGTCTGTTATGGGTTATATAGAATATTAATGCAGACTGAGAAGATAAAATCCAATGTAAGGATACGAAATATCACAATGTCGTTCAGAAATATGTGGTATGTCATATCAGACTGTATTGCACTTGAAGAAATGACACAATATAACTTGGTCGTAGCTTGTACTGTCACCCTTTATTTGCCGAGCTTCTGATCTACATGATCTTCGTGACGACTATAATGTTAAAATCAAGGAAACACAATATAATGGCTTAAATTTCCATACGTTTGCAAAGGTGCACGAATATATTATTATATATTTACATCAATATTTATCTACATTAGATACACATGTCCTGATATATTGAGGGGTCATTGGAGAGACGTATTATGTACCGGTGACAAGTAAAGGTTATACAGTCAAACCTGTCTATAGCGACCGCCTAAGGGAAACACAAAAAGTGGTCAGTGTAGACAGGTGGTCCCTTTAGTACATGTTTCAATGAGAAACCATTTTAAAGGGAAACAACAAATGTGGTCTTTGTATACAGGTGTTCACTTAAGCAGGTTTGACTGTAGCACTGTTGTCATCAGAGTGAATTTATAAATAAGGTGCTAGGATTTTAAAACAAAATACTTTCAAATATGTTGAACATTAATATATATATATATATATATGTTTATGATTCTTGACTATGATTGAGTGATATTAAGTTTGTATGCCGTGTATATTTGTTTATACAATGTATTTGTTTTTGTATGTGTTTGTACTTCAGAACCGGAAGAAGGCCTCACAAGCCGAAAGCTCGTAATAAACTTGTAAAGTACAGCTACGTCTCACGTTCCTAGACCATTTTCTTCACGCCTATATATATATATATATATATATATATAGGCATTTTTAAAGTGAATAGTGGTTGTGAACAATTTCCATTTACCGAACTTCTGATCTGCATGGCTTGAAGTTACGAACGTTTGCAAGGTGTTATATATTAACATCTATATTGATCTATATTATACACACATATCATCATATATTTTGGTGTGTTAAAGATACATATGATGTACCGGTAACAAATAAAGATCATACATGTAGCGTTATTGTCTTCAGAGTAAATTTATATTTAAGTTGCTAATATTTGTTTTAAAAATACATTCAAATATGTCGTACATTAATATATATACATGTATTGTTTAAGTAAATAGTGGTTGTGAACAATTACCATCCGTATAATCATTTGTTTTATTACGGTATCTTCATGCATAACAAACTTAATGTTGATATCACTTAATATACGGTGTATACGGTTATGCATATCCTTTTCAAATTACATGAGTATATAAACATGTGACTATACGAATATTGAATTCTGAACTGGCATCTATCAACGCCTATACTTAATATAAAAACATATATCCTAGATAATCGAGAGAGAGAGAGAGAGAGAGAGAAAGAGAGAGAAATAGATAGTGATAGAAAGAGAGAGAGAGACAGGGAGGAGAGATCGGAGAGAAGAGAGAGAGAGAGAAATAGATAGTGAGAGAAGAGAGAGAGAGAGAAATAGATAGTGAGAGAAAGAGAGAGAGGGAGAGAGAGAGAGGTGCATTCACTTTACTCTCAATCTATGGGTTAAGTGTTCGAATCTCAGCCCGTCACTAACATCGTTTGGCAAGACATTAAAGGTAATACAAAGTTTCGGGAAATGTTGAAATTGGGTGGATGATGATTCTTTACAATTTTAATATAATTGGAAACCCCTGTGGATGTATTATAAGCACTAGAAAATTAAGCCCCTAAAACACTTCTGCTTTCGAGAAAAATTGAATACAAAAATTTACCGGTGCTCCCGGTAAATTTTGATAAATTTCGAATAGCGCATACGGCCGTACAATGGTAGCTGCGACCATGAAAATCTCAGAATGTGTAGTTGTGATATATAATTCCCAAACGGAAATAGCTAATCGGTCGATTTTAGTCAAGAAACATTGTTTTATATATAGCTTAATTAATATATTGACCTTTAGAGGGAGCTATACAACATAAAGGGTTTATTATTAACAATTTCATAACTTTAGACTCGATTTCAACCGCGACAACGATCACTGAATATCATAGGATCGCATATGCTTCCAATATGTTCATTTGAACCAAATTCATGACCCCATACCAAAACTTTGTATTACCTTTAATCCACATACAAATATACACACAAACACATCCCACACACGCACCTATACACACACACACGCATAAACATAATTAGGATTATCTTTCAATTTAACCTTTTCATTTTTTTGGCCTGCAATTGGGACATAGTACCTTTAAAGGGACTTGGTACCATTGTTCAGATGAAAGAAAATGTTGCTAAGGTAATGACTTCAATGCTAGAAGTACAATTAAAGATAATCTGAAAGTTTGAGTGAAAACTGAAAACAGACCATTATTAATGATAAAAACTGGGGAAAACTAATCTGATCGATTCCTGAATTCTCCCAACTATATTGTTACAACTTAATTAAATTTTAGGCGAATGTAAATCGTCACAAAACAATAAATTGGCTTTATATACTATTCCAGTCATTTAAGTGTTAAAAGATTTTTAATAGTCTGTTTTATGTTTAATTTTCAATGAAAAACGGTTGGGAAAATTCAAACATTGGTTGGGAGAATTTAATGTTATAGGGTGTCGTACAGTGACGCCTTGAAAGAAAACCATAAATATCTTTGTGTTTTAAGAATTTTTTTCAGGATTTTTTGCATTTTAGAGGGTAAGTACAGTAAAAGGAATGTAATAAGTAACATTTAAAAAATGCGCAGTTTTTTCATCAACCGTCAACAATGTTACCGGTTCACTTTAAGGTGTCTGGAGGGATAATAGGGACTTTTAGATTGAGTGATAGACAGGAATCGAAGATATTTTAATGATTTTATTTTGGATGGAGAAAAAATTGCTGAAGTCCAGGATTTCATATACCTGGGATCACTTGTTAGCGCCAAAGGATCAAGTGAGAAAGAAATCAAGAGTAGATTAGCAATAGCAAGGAATGCAACTCAGAAAATGGTGAATATCTGGAGAAGCCGGGGAATAAATAACAGTTTAAAGTTAAAGATAGCACTGACATCTATATTTCCCATTGCCACATACGGAAGTGAGACATGGGCCATGACCAAAAGAGATGAAAAGAGAGTAGATACGTTTGAAATGTAGGTGTATCGGCGAATACTGAGGGTTCCATAGACAGACAGAAGAACAAACCGATGGGTACTGGACAAGCTGGATACAGAGATGTTGCTCAGAAAGAGTATTGCCAGAAGGAAACTACAGTTTTTTGGCTATGTAGTAAGGAGAGATGGTCTTGGAAAGTCCCTTATAACAGGAACAGTGAAAGCCAGGCGAAGAAGAGGCAGACCTGTAATTTCTTGGTTCAAAGACATCCACATATGGACAGGGAAAAAGCTGTCAGAGGCAACGAGAGTTTGGAAAACTACATGGGGTATGGACTATGTTGCGTGTTAACTAGTAATCCCACATAATTCCCTTTTTTAATTAAACTACTAAAAAGCAGTATCCCTCCAGACAAGAAAACACTTAATAAATGATCACATCCAGACAAATTGATTATAGTTAAAAACTGGTTCTATATTCTATAATTTCACATAAGATACAATGATTACAGAATTATCAGAAACCTCTTCTGTCTATCTCAACAGTGACAGACAATTAAACTATCACTAGGCCCTTGGTAGTTACTATTAATAATCAAACATAGATAACTTCCAACAGCACATTAATGTAAAGGAGACTCAACTTAGTCACTATTAATGATTACCGCTGAATACAAGTCTCGAAATATCAGGAGTCTAGCTGTTCAGTACAACTTAAAACAGTACTAAAACAAGTCAGTTAAATATCATTCACACTGCATGAATAATAACAGTCAAGAAAATACTACTCAAATCTAAGCTAGACAGCGTTTAGATTTACTTACATAGGCACGAAATATGGTGGTTCAAGAAACCGCTAAACAAATCTCTACTTGTGTATGTGTACGGAATGCACAACACGAGAATACAACAATATATCGGTGGATCTAGACTATAGCAGATCTAGATCAGTAGACCAGGCATAGGCCTAGAACTAGTGCAATTATAAACATGTAAAATATGTGTTAGTAAGCGTACGCACTCAACAACAGGCACTCAGTCAGTCAAAATAAGGCATCACAATGATAAACAATGCAATGCATAAATCACAATATAATTAACGTTACGTGAGTCATTGGAGTTGAATTCAAAGTAGATCTTCTTCAAGTTCTAGGTAGATGTAGAAACTAGCTAGTCGAAAACGGTGGTCGATGAGCTGGTTGTCGATCGCGTAGGATATGCAGACGATGATCGACGCTAGGTGAATATTACGATGATGAAGACGATGTTGAAGACAACGATGATGACAACAATGATGAAGACGACGCTGGTGAAGACAGCGATGATGAAGTCGACGATGAAGACGACGATGATGAATCAGTATACAGATGAATACAATGATGATGCAGTCAATGTCAATAGATCAACTTCAGTGACTTGCGATGCAGGTCGAAGAATCAAATGTCGAGACAATATAATCATATGAAGTCGATGATAAAAGGTTGTCAAACAATAATGCAAGTGAGAAAAACGTTAGGTCATATTAAATGTTCTATTCTCACTGCTGGTGAATTAAAGTGTCGTCAATGCTGAACATCGAGAGAGTCAAAATATATCTTGCAAAACGTACAAGATGTAAATAGGTGAGTCGAGCACGTCCACCGGGAATGGTCGGGGGACGTAGCAGTTCAATCCTCGTTGGATACAATTTTCTAGGTACAAATATCAACACAATAACAGCATGTGTGTATACCAATATTAAAACAGCTCACTGATTCCCGCACAGGAAAAATCAGAAGAGCGCCAATCAACTACAGCGCGATTG